TGTTGTCAGAACTAGAAAAGGCATGATATATCCATGAGTTTACTTATAATTTTGACATTTATTTTAGTAATTATCACCGACATGATAGATAATATATTTAATTGTGTAATCGAAGGAATGATAAATAGTTAAGTGATAATATGATTGTAGATATAAATAATAATAAAGTTAATGCAAGACTTTCAACGTATAAAAATTCATTGGAATCAATTCTAAATAATTTTGATTAGCCTTTGTTTGGTAAAAAGATATAATTAGCCTTTTTTTTTCTTTTTTTTTTGTCATTTGTATCTACTATACTTAGCAATTTTAGTTTTTTAAGTTTAATGAAATTTTAGGAATTAAATAGGATATAATTAAATATAAATGCATTATTCTATTTTTATCAAATGCAATAAAAAAAATTAAGCTTATTAAAATATACAGTGCCCACTCTAAAACAATTTTCTGGCTCCACTCCTATTTATGATTGCATGGTGGTATTTTTTAATGTTTATCAATTGATTATGTTGAAATTCTATCAATGGTACCATTTTATTAGGATTTATATATGCTTTCTTTTTCCAGGTTTTACTTCTTGTATACATGCAATGATTTTGGCTCCTTTGGCTTCAATGGTTTCTAGGTCTTTTCAATTTATTTCTCTTTCTAGATCTTTCCAATTATTTGTGAACACCAATTCTAATATTCTCTAACTCAAATAGATAATTGTCATATCAAGTCTATTTAGGTAGAAGCAAATTATAATTTTGTTTAAAGAATAAGTGATGGGACACTTCTGAGAGTCACCATGGAGTCAACACGTGTCCTAGGCATGAGAGACGCAGTTGCTCCCTCTAGTGCCAGATGTCCTCGGTGTTATAAAGCCTCTACCATCTCTACAAGTGACACGTGTCTTCAGTGCTGAAGGTTCCTCGGAGCTCCCTGNCCGAGCCACCTTATGCCCCTCAAATTTTTTTTTTCTTTCTAAAATTACTTATATATATTTAAGTATTTTTTCAATATATTAAATTGTGCCCACCCTATTTTGTTGTCAGAACTAGAAAAGGCATGATATATCCATGAGTTTACTTATAATTTTGACATTTATTTTAGTAATTATCACCGACATGATAGATAATATATTTAATTGTGTAATCGAAGGAATGATAAATAGTTAAGTGATAATATGATTGTAGATATAAATAATAATAAAGTTAATGCAAGACTTTCAACGTATAAAAATTCATTGGAATCAATTCTAAATAATTTTGATTAGCCTTTGTTTGGTAAAAAGATATAATTAGCCTTTTTTTTTCTTTTTTTTTTTGTCATTTGTATCTACTATACTTAGCAATTTTATTTTTTTAAGTTTAATGAAATTTTAGGAATTAAATAGGATATAATTAAATATAAATGCATTATTCTATTTTTATCAAATGCAATAAAAAAAATTAAGCTTATTAAAATATACAGTGCCCACTCTAAAACAATTTTCTGGCTCCACTCCTATTTATGATTGCATGGTGGTATTTTTTAATGTTTATCAATTGATTATGTTGAAATTCTATCAATGGTACCATTTTATTAGGATTTATATATGCTTTCTTTTTCCAGGTTTTACTTCTTGTATACATGCAATGATTTTGGCTCCTTTGGCTTCAATGGTTTCTAGGTCTTTTCAATTTATTTCTCTTTCTAGATCTTTCCAATTATTTGTGAACACCAATTCTAATATTCTCTAACTCAAATAGATAATTGTCATATCAAGTCTATTTAGGTAGAAGCAAATTATAATTTTGTTTAAAGAATAAGTGATGGGACACTTCTGAGAGTCACCATGGAGTCAACGCGTGTCCTAGGCATGAGAGACGCAGTTGCTCCCTCTAGTGCCAGATGTCCTCGATGTTATAAAGCCTCTACCATCTCTACAAGTGACACGTGTCTTCAGTGCTGAAGGTTCCTCGGAGCTCCCTACGAGTGACACGTGTCCTCCGCACTAAAGGCATGTCAGAGTCTTCATCGTTCGACACCTGTCCTCGACTCCTGAATTTTCCCTGAAGAAATCTCCAGCCGACAGTTGTCCTCGACGTGCCTAATGCCCTCAAGGTCCATTTCTTGACATGTCACCTTAGCTCTAAAGCCCCAAGGCATGGATGACAGATTGATGATTATTGTTACTTGGAGTTAGAATTGGTCAATAATCATTGACTTGCCTTCCCAAAGCAGTTAAAATGGTAGAAGGAGCAGGTCAGTTGCTAATGAGAATGATACAAAATGTTCAGATCTCAGAATTGGGGGCTAATGGACAAAGATGCCCCTGCTCGTGCACAGTCATCACAGAGAGACATTAAATAACCATTCAGATGGATGGGACATGTTTATTGCTCAGTGGACTNATTTCTTGACATGTCACCTTAGCTCTAAAGCCCCAAGGCATGGATGACAGATTGATGATTATTGTTACTTGGAGTTAGAATTGGTCAATAATCATTGACTTGCCTTCCCAAAGCAGTTAAAATGGCAGAAGGAGCAGGTCAGTTGCTAATGAGAATGATACAAAATGTTCAGATCTCAGAATTGGGGGCTAATGGACAAAGATGCCCCTGTTCGTGCACAGTCATCACAGAGAGACATTAAATAACCATTCAGATGGATGGGACATGTTTATTGCTCAGTGGACTCTGGGAGAGATGCATTAAATGCTAGGGGATTTGAGCATTAAATGCAAAAGCTTCTTTTTGTGTAAAGAAGAGACTCTGCCCAAGGACTGTGTTCCACAGGCCACTTCCCAAAGAGGCCAACGAGGGACTGCATCTCTAAGGGACCTACCTGTCCACAATGATCACTTTCATGGAGGTATGAATAACTCTAAAAAAACTCAAAGTAAAGGTACGCAAATCTTATCTAAAGTAATAGAACAGTGAATTCGCACCCTTCTCTCATGTACTAACTTGATTGTTGGAGGGGTCTCGCCGAAAAATACTCTGACATCCTTCTAACTTTATTTTTTGAGTGACAGAGTTCATCTTAACATGTCGGAATTGTGCAGACTGCTGGAAAATTAATTTATCATTGCTTCTTACTCTGTTTCTTGCCTCCGTTTGCCACGGGATCGTGGACTTTTAAGGTAAATTTCGAGTTCACCAGGGAAAAGATCTGTCCATTTATTTATTGNGTAATAGAACAGTGAATTCGCACCCTTCTCTCATGTACTAACTTGATTGTTGGAGGGGTCTCGCCGAAAAATACTCTGACATCCTTCTAACTTTATTTTTTGAGTGGCAGAGTTCATCTTAACATGTCGGAATTGTGCAGACTGCTGGAAAATTAATTTATCACTGCTTCTTACTCTGTTTCTTGCCTCCGTTTGCCACGGGATCGTGGACTTTTAAGGTAAATCTCGAGTTCACCAGGGAAAAGATCTGTCCATTTATTTATTATGTGAAAATCACCGCGCACAATAAGGTAATTTGAATTTTAGGGATTGTGGTAATTTCATGCAAGTGAATTATGTTCTTTGATGGGGAATTGTTTGTTGAAATGTCAATGGATACTAATTATTAAAACCATATGTTTAAGAATGGAAAAGAGAGCAGATTATGAAAATTGAAGATTTATTGTTTACATTTATTGATGACACGTGAAACTCGGTCAACTTAGTTGAGTTTCTCTGAAATGTTATCATAAGTTCATTTTAACTAGGAGACATGACTTAATTAATTTAAATTTGAGTTATAATTGGAGATGCTCTTAGTAATATTCATTCCTATGTTTGATAGGTGGGAATTCCTATTGCTAAGGAATAGCTAATCCCAAAAATTGTGAGATTAGCCATCACAAAATCTGACCCTGGTATTTGTGATTCCCATTCCACGTGGTAATAGCCAAAAAAAAATTTGTGAGTTAATCTCAAATTGCACCTTCAAAGATCTTTTGAATTTTAATTTGTACCCNATATTCATTCCTATGTTTGATAGGTGGGAATTCCTATTGCTAAGGAATAGCTAATCCCAAAAATTATGAGATTAGCCATCACAAAATCTGACCCTGGTATTTGTGATTCCCATTCCCCGTGGTAATAGCCAAAAAAAAAATTTGTGAGTTAATCTCAAATTGCACCTTCAAAGATCTTTTGAATTTTAATTTGTACCCTTAAAAATTAAAAATTTTAATTTATACCCTCAAAGATAGAAATATGTATCAATGTGCACATCAAACTAACAATTTTGCTGTATAAAACTAAATGAATAAATTACACCTAGACTCTTTTATCCTTGTTATTTAATCACTTAGATCCCTCACATTTGAAGTATTACAGTTATATCTCTTGAGAATCCAACTATGACTAAAAATGTTCTCTCAATTGGGCATTCAAATAATTCTTTTTAAGTGATGTATTGCATTGGATATAAAAAATATTATAAATACCTAAATTATATTGAGTATTCAAATGGTAAGTTTGATTTTGAACTATAAAGTATAACAAACACACAAAATAAAGGATAGTATGAAATTATAATATTTTATTAGGATGAAATCATATTTTTTAATGGTTATATTAACAAATATCAACGACAATGAATTATGTGTTACATATGCACAAAATGTTAAAAAGTGTAGGAGTAATATTTTAAATATGAGCGAGTTCAAATAATTAAGTGACGAATATAAAGGGATCTAAATATAATTTATCGAACAATGCTATATGGATTTAAAAATCAGACTTAAAAACAAAACTTGATAATTATAATTATTGATTTCACTATGGTTCTATTATTTATTGAGACCTATTACATATTCAATAGTTAGGATTATTAAATCTTAATTATTATAACCATCGATTTATTAGAATTCGTATTATTTATTGGGACCCGTTACCTATTCAATAATTAAAATTATCAAATTTAATTTTTAAATCTATCTTTAAATCCATCTAACATTAATTTAATTTATCTTTTTAATTTTAGACAGTTGGTAATACAAAATTCTATTTTTGAGTTGCAAATTAAAATTGGAACCATCTTTGCGGTGCAATTTACAATTGGCTCGATCGTTTTTCTCTTCAAGCTTCATATCAAAGCTGGTCTCTACCGATTCTCCTCTTCTCTCATCAACGCCAATGGCATTCCACGGCTCTCTTCGCCTCACCTTCTTCATCTGCCTTGTCTCCATATGAAGCAAGGGTTGGTATTGGTGATCAGGATCGGCATAATAGCTCAGATCTGACCTAGTTTCAGGTCATTTTTGCTAAATTTAATCAATATTCTCATATCTGAATTTCAAAAAAAACCCCAGATTCAACTTCGAATTTCAGATCTGAAATTTTGAGCTTAAGTTGATACTTAAGTTGCTTGGTTCTTACAGTTTGGTTCTGAATTATTTGCTTGGTTCTAATTCGAGGTTAACTTCTTACTTAAGTTGCTTGGTTCTCTGATGAGAATCTTGTGGGTTGTTTTCCCTCAACGCTAATCTTATTTGAGACAATAATTCTTTTTGCTTTAAGTTCTTCAATGTAAGTTGTTCCCTTGTAATGTATTCATCAGCGAGGAGAGTCAGGAGACCTGTCTGCTCTGCTTAGCATCTGTGGCGTAGGATTTTTTAACTCTCTAATTCTCACATGTTCATGAACATGGGATATGATTATAGTCCCGTTGGAGATACTTTCTAAGTTAATCTTGGCAGCAGATAATGAAAATGTGACGATTAAGTAGTATTAGTTTTTAGACCTACTGACTTAATTTGTTAATTGAATTTATTATTTTCATTGAATTAGGAGAATTTTAATACTATTGACAATATAAATAGTAAACAATATGTGATGCAGTAGGTAGGGGCACAAAATAGGGTATGCAGAAAAGTTTGATCTTGGGGGTTCTCATTATGATTTGGACTTAGGAGAAGAATATCTATCTATGCATATGTGATGCAGTAGGATTCCTGATGTAGTTGGAATGGTTATCGTCACTTGTATCACCAAAAAGGTTGAGTTGTTCTTTTTAAGGATAATTATGGGTGACAGTCTTTTGGTTAGGTTTGCCATAGGTACGCTTTTGACGTTATGTGCTCTTGAAAGTTGTACTAATAGGAAGATACTTCCAACTTTGCTGATTTCTCTTTGGACGTTTTGGAAAGTTAGGTATCGGGGTATTTTTTGGAAAGGCAAAGTTGAATGTCTGCCCTTTGTTGAGCATGCTCTGCAGGTGATGCTATTCAATGTATATAGGCTTTGGCAAGTGAGGAGCCTTGGGCATTGGAAACATAGCCAATCTCTTTGGTTTGTTGTGGAACTTTCTTACCCTTCAGGTTTTCAAGTGACTGAAGAAAAAAAAGGGGGATGTGTTGTTTAAAGTGATGGCTTGAGTTCTAGTTGCCTCCCTTTTGAACATTTTAAACATTTAATGGTGTAGCTTTAACACATTTATTTTTATATTGTAAAGTGTTGTACACTAAATCAACAGAATTTTTGTCTTTCAATAAGTTCCTTTTTTGGTGCCTGTATGGTTTTCTGATCTTAAACTCCAAGCGACCACCTAGTGTAGTTCCTTGCATTGTGTTTGCTTTATAATTCTTGTGACAGCTATGAATGTATCACTTGAGGTTGTTTTTTTTTTTTGCTTCAGAATTATGCACAGCTCTTTTTTTCAGTAGCAGAATCTGGCTGGGTGTTAATTTGATGGTGTATTGACATTTTTTTCAATACAAATAGTTTGTAAAAATGACATCCTCTAGCCAAATGGAGTCACGAGGCCCGGGTAAGAATAAGAAAAAGTGGATGACTAATGAAGATGCTAAATTGATTGCAAGTTGATCATAGCCATTGTGTTTGAATGAATACCATCTGATGGTGCTCGATATTGCTACACCCAGTTGTAGAACAATTACTCTGTGAGGTCCAGTAGGAACTTTATGAATGTTTGGGTTAACGAGAAAGTAAGTGTTGATGTTGGATCAAAGAAAAACAGATAAGTGGTTTACTTCAGCCGAAAGACCAAGGCCAAATACACTGTAATGGAGGCTTCTACTACTTGAGGTTGTATTACTTGATAAAAAGAAACTGGTTACATGGGGTTTCTTGGCTGAGGGCCTTTTTACACAGTATATCTCAAGTAATGATACGAATTTTTTTCTTTTACAGTGGCTTCGTCTTCTATTTATACATACGACCATGTAGGGTTTCTGCGATTCTTCCTTTTCTTGGCTGATCCAATAGTCCCCTCTTCATTTGTCCTGTAGCGGGGGTCTGCCACCTTGACGCATTTTGTACCCACGATTCTCAGAAACAAAATGTATTCAAATATTCTGTTTATTATGGAATATTTGTTCGTTAGAGATTTTAGAGATTGTCTCCCCGTCCTCCTGGACACATGGCGCAACCAGAGCTACTTTGGGTCTATCTTGTATCGAGCTCCTTACTCTTGAGTAGACACATATCTCCGTGCTTGATACGACCGGGCTGATGTATCCTGAGCTAGTAGATCTTGGGATCTTTATGTCCTTGGGCTAGAAAGCACGGACACTTTATTCTGAGCAGAGTGTCGGTGTCGAACACGTCTGACACACAAACACGCTTTAGACACGCTCAGACGTGTAAAAATGAGTGTTTGATTTTTTTATTGTTAAATTTGTTTTAAGACACGTTTTGAATACGTTGGGGACACGTGGCCGACACGTTCGGGACACGTGGCCGACACGTTCAGGACACGTTGGGAGACATGTTTTAATATTTATTTTCAATTTTTTGAGAATTTTTTNTATTCTGAGCAGAGTGTCGGTGTCGAACACGTCTGACACACAAACACGCTTTAGACACGCTCAGACGTGTAAAAATGAGTGTTTGATTTTTTTATTGTTAAATTTGTTTTAAGACACGTTTTGAATACGTTGGGGACACGTGGCCGACACGTTCGGGACACGTGGCCGACACGTTGGGAGACATGTTTTAATATTTATTTTCAATTTTTTGAGAATTTTTCAGATAGTTTTATAATTAAGAGTTATTTTTATAATTTTAAAGAGATATGAGTCACAATCATAATATAAAAAAAGTTATATTCATTACATTGAACGTATGACATGAATTTAACATAATTTTGGATACAAATACGAATTTATATACAAATGGAATAGTCTTTTAATATGAAAATAATGTGAGAAAAAATGTAATAACAAAATTGGAGTTCTTGAAATTTGATGAAAATTAGTATTATGAAATAGAATATTTTTTAAAGTAAAAGTTGTAGAAGTCATTAATTATTGAATCATGGATGTTAATGTTGAATGTGTATCTTATATTGTACTTTTTATTTAGTGATATCGTGATCTGAATTTTTAGAATTAAGGAAATGATAAATTAAAAGATTATTATGATAATATATATATATATATATATATATATATATATATTATTTAACGTATCAATAACGTGTCCGTGTCTTAATTTTTGAAGAATTTTGTGTCGATGTGTCCATGTCTTGTCGTATTCTTGTCCCGTATATGTGTCAATGCATCTTAGTCCTTGGGCTGTGGCCCAATCCCATGGTAAGGGGGGGTGGGGGGGGGTGGGGTGCTTTGTGGGTAGGCCATTAAGGTCCTCCTTTGAAGAGGTCCATTGGGTGTATTAAATTCCAAACGGGCGGCCCAAAGCTTAAGCCCATTATTATCACCATCCAAGAAGGATTATGTATGACATTGATAAAAGTATCGCATTTCTATTTTTTTCATTTGTTGTTTGTGATTAATTTTTGTTGTATTTTTGGTGAAATTTTTTATTATGCGACTCTTTATGACTTTATTTACAACACATTTAATCTGATTTGTCAAATTTTAAAATTAATAGAAGTACTCATTGTAATGGAGTATGAATAAAATTATAAATTCTAAGATAAAAAAGTTATTTTGGTTAAATTTCATTTCATTCCAATATAAATTATATTTTATCCAAACCATGGAATATGCATTCCATTTCAAGATATTATCCCAATTAATTGCCAAACATTAGAATATTAATACACATTTCATTTCGTTTTCAAGTTTATTTCATTTCATGTCCATTCTATTCCTGTTTAAAGATATTATTGTTTATCAAACGCAGCGTAACTGTTATTTTATTTTTGGTATAGAAAGATGAGGGTCTCTCCTAATTCTGCGCAAACCCATTTTCCATTCAACATTCCATGGAAAAATGTGTACATCATGGTACCATGGCAATCTGAAACGGAAGCCCTCCACCACTTTCTCAGTAGGCTATTTGTTATATTTCTTCTTTTCTTTCTGCTATGGGTTCAAAATTGTTTTGAAAATGGGTATGCTTGGTGCATTGGGTGGTTTTCAAGAGGTTTTATTTGTTCGGCGCTCGTTCTCTTTCTCTATCACTTAGTGTGTAGTGCAGGCAACATCATTGCTATTGCTGCTTGAGTAAGTCTTACCCTTGTGGTTATTTCATACATAGTTTCATCTACACAACAGGGATATTTTTACCGTCTCTGCAGATTTAAAACACTTTTTCGGCCAGACTGCAGAAATAGATGATGACCTTCCTCCTTCATGCCAAAATAGATTTGTAAGTGGGGGCAGTGGGGGAAGCGGACATTCTATAGTTATTGGTAATGCTCCATACCCACCACATAGGGCAAGGACCATATAGTTCGGTCTGTGTGTCTTCAAGGCTCAATTGGATGGCATTTATTTGGTACTTATACGAGACTCCGACTCATTCAACTACATTTGATTAAGAATAATTCTATGTGCACTAAATTTGCACACTAAAACTTGTGTCAAATCAATTGTAGTTGTTGAATCAGTGATGAGACACATTGATCCAACTGCTGTAAGTGAATTGGTACAAGTTTTGGTACACAAAACATTGCTCTTTGATTAATGAGTAGTGTTTGGAATTAGTTTTTCCGGTGAGAGATGCAGGCAATGGAAAAATTATTAAATATTTTTGTTTTAAATTTCTGACTATTTGGAAGTTGGATGTTTGAAGGTGTCCTTAGAGTGAAATTGTGAAATATGACTTTATTTGTTATCTAAAACGATTCACGTGCAATGCGCGTGTGTAACAATTAGTGATAATAAAAGATACANTTGGATGTTTGAAGGTGTCCTTAGAGTGAAATTGTGAAATATGACTTTATTTGTTATCTAAAACGATTCACGTGCAATGTAATCAAAACAATTCTTCACTATTAAAAATCTTATTGAAAAAATGAAAATTATGAATTCAAGCCCAGAAATCAAGAAGATTTAAAAGTTTTCGTGTGAAATTTAGGCTGCATTGTCCCTGTGGTTGCATAAGGGGATATGCGCCCATTAAAAGTTTTCGTGGTTCAAACAGTGATGGAAAAAGAAAAAAAAAAGATTTAAGAAGATATTATTGAATGTTATAGAAGAGAATTTTCCCACACTTGACAATGGATAAGAGTCTCGAAATCTCGTGTGGTGGGAGAGGTGGAAATTATGTATACATTGCTAAAATTGAATGTTGGAATATCTCAAATGTTTAAAAGTTGTATCGATTTTAAAAAAAAAAAAAAAAAAGGACCACCCCAAGTCCATAAAAAGAAGTTATAGACAGATAGGTCCAACCAAAAAAAACTTTACTCAACAATCTTTGTATAAATAGACTCAATTGGTCTTATAAAAAACTTCTTTGATCTTATTGTTTTTTTTTAAAAAGAAATTTTAATTATTTGCCAAAAAATAAACATTCAAATTCAAAACCATTTAAATTTAGGGCATCAACATAAATAAATAAATATCTATATAAGACAGTATGACTGTAACACCCCGTATTTTCTTTTATATATGTATATGTATATAGATATATAGTAAATAATTGTAGAAAAAAAATGTGGATATATGTAGTGATGTGTGTTTGAATTTGGTAGATTGGAAAAGTAGAGATTTAAAATGTTAGTGAAAATAATAGTTGAAATTTAGTTTTAATAAGTGAAAATATGAAATTTTAGGTCTTAGAACTTGTATTAAATAGGTTTGGTGTAGAAATATGTGTTGGAAAGGTTTGGGATGAATTTGGTTGGCTTAGGAATGAATTGGAAATGAAAAAGGGACGAAGACAGACTGTGAACAGTGCATGTAAACAGTGTACTGACTGCAACTTCAAACGCGATTTCGACCTTGATGCAGTCAATAGCTCTCAAAACTCAACACATGAAAGTTTTAGAGCTCTTTCTTATCATTCCATAGCAACTTAAATCATCTCAATCGGAGTTTGGATGAGAGAGTTATGCCCAGATAACGATGGGCTGTTTTGACAGCCCAATTAGCTTGAACAGTGCACGTGAACAGTGCACTAGCTGCAACTTCAAGCTTGATTTAGACCTTG